ATCTTTTATCTCTCATTCATCTTTTAATCTAGCGACAGTCATAAATTACAACGATTGAAATATCAAAGAGATATTTGATGATTACCTATGAACACATACAATATAAATTTATAAAAAAAACTAAGTCATTTAAGATATAAAAATTTGAAAGAAACTGTCATCTTTAATTAAAGGTTTTAAAAAATCAAATTTTCTTTGACCTATTATATCTTATTTTATTACTGTTAATCTACCTTTTTACTATATTACGTTTATTTTTAAGGTAAACCATTAAGAGAACGACAAACAAAAATATTTATCAACTCTGAACCCTTTATCGTCGGGGATACGGAAGATGAAGAAACGAGTGAAATGAAAGGGACAAAAGAGGGACTCATATAATGTGCAACCAAATTAAATTTTCCATAATTACTTTAGGAACAAACAATACCCAAAACATGGAGAGAAGTTTGACATAATACGGGGAATGAATAGGACACCACGAATATATACTAAGCAAGGGGAAAGAGGAAGATATTGCTGGATGAACAATTAGGTTCCCATCTTTCTCTTAAAGCTTAATGCTCAAACAAATTATGATAAATTAGCGCATCCGCCTGTTGTCGCGATAGTAGTAAGTGCTATTCACATTTCCAAACACTTCATTCATTCAGTGATCACATTTGTCGGCATTTCAACTCGTAGCTCTCAACACGGATTCAACATTATTGCTTTTCCTGATCAACATTCTTTCACGTATAGAAATCAATTCATATTAATTATTACCAAATCAGGTTTGACTTAAGATATATATTTCTACTTTTTATGCAGTAAAATTGCAAAAATTTACTATGATTTTTATCTATTAATTGTTCCAAAATTTAAATTAATCAAATCTATAACTTTTAATTTAATATTGATCAATAGATTAATTCTTGTTTTATGGTATTTCATCGAATGATTTGTTATAGTTACTGATGTGTAGAAATATCAGTTTATATATACTAAGAAAGGTAACGACGAAGTTGAAAAATTCAACTTTGATAAACTTGTTCATTTTAAACCTGCCATGTTTGTCAGCTACCAAGTTCAAGTAAAAATTTTAATTAGAAATATGCAAAATGTATATGCAATAAGTTGATATTGCATGATAACATTTGCATACAAAATTAAAACTAATGAAACTTTTCCTACCTTATCAGACTTTTAATATTCGTTGGACTGTATGGTACTATTGAAATTAACGTGAAGATCATTTATCATACTACTTAGTCATTTATAAAGTTGAATGTTTATTTATAAGAATTTGTAAAGTAAGATTACTTATAAAGTTAATTCAAGGAAGGTGTAAGTTGTCTATAACTTGATGAAGTAAAGTTTTTGAGTAAACTTCTGGAACTAACTTTTAGTTCTATGCTTTCTCCCTATAGTATCAGATAGTGTATTATGAATTAAAGAAATTAGCAAATGCCATGTTAAAAGATTAGGATAGCCGGTTAAAATTAGGAATAAAAGATTAAACTCGTGATTTAATCCGATAAATTAATCCGGAATCGTTACCATTCAAATGTATTAAGCAAAACACTTAAAGCAATCTTAATGAAGTGATCAATAAATGAATGTAAATAATTAGTTATAAGTGACAATAAAATACGAATGATACCTGCGTAATGGAGGAGACAGCGGCAGCGGTGCTGCTGGCACCATTAAGGATAGTGGATGTGGTACTTAATCCTTCACTAGTCATTCGACCAAAAAGATACTGTTTAAAAAGGAGGAGGCGAGTAGTTTAGTGAATTATATTTTACTTAGTTAATGGTTCGTAAGAGTCCACAGATTTAATTTGTAAATGTCGTTAGCTTTAGACTTCTTTTTTGTTGCAAATATTATCTGATTGATAATGTTGGTGGATTGATGAGATGACGGTAATGGTGACGTAACTGTTGCTGCTGTCACGTTAAGCAAATTTAATAATGAAGGATTTGGAGTGATGATGATGATGATATTATATAATTACAGTAAATAAATTTTGGAGACAAGTGAAGTGACGGCAAGGATAACTTGGTTTTCTTCCTTGGAACACGGTCACAATGATGTACATGTACATAGACATACACACCACTTGCACTCCCGCAAAGCCTGTAATAGTTTCAGGTATATATGGACACAGAAGAGAGAGAAAATGGCCTTAAAGCTATTGTCAATGAAGGAATAGGAGAGGTGAACGTCTGAGTTGAGGGGTTGGGGTGGGATATCGAGGAAGGTAGAAAAGGGAGCTATGCCTTACAAGCCTATTTACGCTCTTCCTTCGCCTTCTTCTCCTCCTCCTTTTACTCAGTTCTCGAAATTACGGATAGCGTAGCGTACTACGACTACCTCAGCTGACAACACGAATTATAGCTTTATTGGATTTACTGCCTCTATCTATTCTTACATCTGGATACGGTATCCTTCTTTCCCTTCCCAGTTCTTTTTCCGCAGGCTATCCGACAAAGTTAGCATCTTTCAGAAATTCTATCTATACCCCGCCAACATCTATCGTCATAGCCTTTCGAGCAGCTGGCCTGATTGCTTTGGCTAGCTTTAGCTTGTATGGCCTGCTCTTACGAAATGATTTGATTATAGGCTGATGATGAATGGTGAAGAATTATAGAATGAGAGGGAGAGGGAAAGAAAGAAAGAAAGAGGGGATAAAATTATACTGCTTATACACAACAAATCTTTCTTCACATTGATCATTTCTAGACAGGTATAAATTCTTTCGAAGCTAAAGCTGAAAATTAGTCTCTAATAGACCTACCTATCAAAATACCAAAAATACTATGAGAAATTTGAATAAATTCATTTAGAAAGAAGCGGTGAGGGGATTTCCAACGGTAGGCGTATCATTGAGCTAATTCCCGCGCCTTAAGTGGCTGATTCCAACAAATAGCTATGATGCCGACAAAAACGATCGCATAGGTCAAGAAGGGTTCATTGAAATGATCCAAATGACCCAACGATAGCAATGGATAGTGTGCAATTAATCACATCGAATTGAAAACAATTTCCATGATAATTCGTTTATTTGAAAAAAAATCTGAATTATGCCTTGGTATTAAAACATAACCAACCACATGTTTATTCCTGGTTGAAAAAAAATTTTCAATAATAATCACTATATAAATTATTGATTTCAAATTGTTATATGGAAGTAAATTTATATTGATTGTTTTAAATTACCGGATTTTTTCCAGGTTTAACACATTTATCTTTCACATAAAGTAACAACTAATTAATTCATTTCTTCCATTTCTTTTCAAAGTTTTAAATTTGTTGGTAAATTTCATCGATTGTGATCCTTATCATCGAGTAATCAGAAATGGGCTTTAATGAGGATAAAACTATTAATTATTTGATCTATTTTGCAGAATTTAAAGTTATGCTAACTTTAAATTAAGAATGTTATGCTAACATTTTGCTATTTCTTTCTATTTAATTGTTAATTAGTTTCAAAAATAATTTCAATAATTTTATTTTTATTCAAATATTCTTATTCTATGAATAAAACATTAAATTATTTAGAGACAATTTATCCTTTACAAAAGATAACTTATTATCATATCATTTATTAACGATATTTGGGTAATAAAAGCACAAATTATTATAATTCATAAAATTAAATTAATTACTTTTAAGTTTAATTATTGCTTTTAAACAATCCAATTAAAATTTTTGATTGAAATTGGTTTTAATTATGTGCAGAAGAATATTTGATAATAAAATTTTCCGATTGATAAGTAAGTACGAGAGATCATTGCACATATACTACAATGACGAGAGTAATATAATTCAAACACATTTAAATCTTAAATTATTTCGCCATCTATGAATTATTTTTTTGGTTAAAGCTTGCGAAAATTTTTTGGCTGTCAAAATGAGCAAAGCAAAGAGTTGGAAAAATAGATTCGAATTTCAGTTCATTTCAACTGACCATTTCGAAGATGGCAAATCAATATTGGAGAAATCGAAAACGCTCCAAAAATTGGCTCATTTTAAATGTTCGATTAATTCGAACTTTATACATAGAATATAAATGTTCACATCGGTAAGTTGCAATAATTGCAAATAGAGTGCATGCATTGCATTAAATCGCTGTTAATTTTTTCATTAATATGAAGACTGATCTAACTAGTAAGAAATTTATCTAACTAGCGACACAGATTGATCTAATTAGTAAGAGATTGATTTAACTATTGAGAAATTGATCTAATTAGCAAGAGATGATCTGCTAACGGGAGATTGATTTAACTAGTAACTAGTGAGAGATTTATCTGATTAATTCTAAGTAGTGAGAGATTGATTTAACTAGTGAGAAACTGATCTAACTAGTAAGAAATAGATTTAAATATTGAGGGGTTAATCTAATTAATAAGAGACGGTATAACTAATGAAAAGTGATCAAATTAATAAGAGATGATCTAATTGGTAAAAGAACTAGTGAGACATTGATTTAACTAGTAAGAGATCGATCCAAATATTGAAAAAATGACACAACTATTGAGGGATGATTTAATTAGCAAGAGATGATCTAACTAGCTAGAGTTGATCTAACTAGTAAGAGATGATCTAACTAGTAAGAGATGATCTAGGTAGCGTTCAAATGTTTTAGAAATATCAATAATCGTGATAGCAAACAAAATTGGATTCGTAGAATGTTACACCTGCTACAATGTAAACTAAATGAATCTCATTTGCACTGGTATGCTTCCACGCCGCAATGCGCTGTTTTTCCTAAATTATGGTACTATTAGTAAACTAGTAGTAGCTGTTATTCAGTTATCCGATATTTCCGGTATTTTCAAGAGTGATTGTCAATATACTAAATTATTTCGTTATTTCCAGAACCTCTAGAAAATTCTTGCTAAACATCAACTCATCTATCGAATCATCCAGACAAGGAAATATCATCGATGGTTTCAGCTTATACGAATGTTCAATTTTTGTAGTCATATATCTGGATAAATCAAATTATTTGTATAATGTTTGGGTTAGCCGGAAAATTTCAAAGACGCTGTGAATTTGATCTCGAACAAGGTTCAATTATTTAATGTAAATATTTTCAAATTTTGTAAAAAAAGTTTCTTCAACTTTTTTGACATATATTTCTTTTCTTTTTATGCTATAGAATATAGCAATTATTTTTTAATAATTATTTGGATTTGATAATAAATGAATACAAAATAATTTGTTTCATATAAATAATAAAATTTATGTTAAATTTGATTTCGCAGAGTGAATCTTTATTAAGGATGAGAGAAAAGTGTGCAAAATAATTTGAAACATGCTTCATACACTTTTTTTAGAACCTAATTCAACGATTTATTCAAAAAATGGCTGCCAAAAGTCAAAATATGGAACAGCTGCAGGATATCAAAATGATTTAAATAGGAGCAACAACAATCCATCTAATGTCAAACCAGCACATCCTATAACATTTTTAAATACAAGCAGGTATTCATTTCTAAATTTGAATCCGATATTTTTAATTTTCCAAGTCACTTTTCAAGTAAACAATATTATGGAATAGCAGCGTAAAATTTATAATTTTCCCAAATTATAATTTCCACTTTAATCGATAGGTTGCGATCAGTTGAATTTATTTGCTAAATTTATTCGCTTGATATTTTCATATGAAAATAATCTTTTAAAGCACTTTGAAGTACAATTCAAAGTTCAATAATAATGTTATTTAGCAATTAAATATGATTTCAAATAAAATTTTACACTTTTTCTAACATATCTATCTAAATCAGTGTTGTTTTCGCAAAGGAATCCCTCATCGGATGAATCAGTTTTGAAATTACTAACTGATTGTCAGGGATATATTTGGGATATACGGGAGGGAAAGGATAGATAGTGGAATTAGAAAAAGTAATGATACGCATCACTGGATAGTGAATATAAGAACCAATCATAATTTTATTTAATGCCATGAATTTTTAATTCAAAATTTTTGTTGACATTTCGCCACCTCTCATAATATCACATTCATAAATACATATATACAATCAGTCAATTTTGATATTTAACGCAGTACTAATCATAATTCATGTAAAATGGAGTAAGTTTTGCATATTTAAAATTTTCAAATTTTAAATAATATTTTTAGAATTTTCAAATTTTAAATAATATTGAAAGGATTGGTTAATTTATATGAATTTTAGTTAATTAATGAATTTATTACTTTAGTAATTTTGCATAAATTTGGTTAGTTTGTATGAATTTTTATTAATTAATAAATTGATTATTTCAGTAGAAAATGCCTTGCATGTATGCTTGTTATTGTGTCTTTACTACTTCTGTTATTTGTTATTATTATCGTAATAGCATACGCTTTGAACGGTAAGTGATAATCTTTGAAATTTTATTTCGAATTCAATAAGAAGTTCTATTTATGTCAAATAGCATTAAATTATTTTCATTCCTTTTTATGATTAAATTTTTCTATTATGGAAACAGCAAATAACGATATTTTATACAGTATGAGTAATGATTATAGTCTTAACAGTACGACTTTGTCGTAAGGATTCAGTGAATTAGATATAAAATTGAAATATGAGATTCCTTATTAAACGTGACAAACAACTGCAAAAGTTAAGATAATATTAATTAAATTAATGCTACTTGAAAATATTTAAACTAAAAAGTTTTCAATGAAAAAACTTTTTCCTTTCAGTGATTATTATCAAATTTCCATCATCATCCAAAACAAGTCAGCCATTCCCATTTGACACTACAACTTTATTACCTAATTTTACCACTCAATCTTTCCCACTTTTATTTCCCACACTATTGCCACCATATAGGCCAATCATTACAACATTGCCGAATCCAACAGATCGATTGCAAAAACGAACATTTCTCTGTCACATGTACTTATTAAATAAAGCTAATGAAGTTTATACAAATCATGATCGTTTCGAGTATCGTCATGCATCTCAAATGATTCAAAATGCGGTATGTTAAATTCTCATCTTGGAATCTATTTCATTTTAAAAAAGATTCTAACGACTTCACAAGTCTTGTTTATTACTTTTCGAATTAATGGAAATAATAGCTATTAAATGTCATATCATTATCAATATTATCCGGTAAAGACATTTCAGTGTATTCCCTGGCCAATCCTTCGAAAGAAAAATATTTTTATAATGCTTTACACTTTTGCAGTCATTTTTTACCAATGTATTTAATAATTTAAATTATCTATACCGGAAAGTATTTTCTGACCTAGGTTGGGTTTTATGAACGTTCTCATTCATATTTATGATCTTTAAGCAACATAAAAAATAATGGTTAAAATTCTAAATTTTAGATTTTAAAATAATGTCATTTTTAGATACATGGCCAACTTATGAAATCGTCTTTACAGCCGTACGTGGAAAATATCTACGTATGGTATTTATACAACAGGTAAAAAATTAAATAAATTTATATCATAAAATAAGCTATTGCAACAACAACAAATAAATATTTTTTATTTTTCAGTGGTCCTCATCTTGCAGTAGAATTTTCTGTTGCATTGCTTCTTCCATCACATACAAATATTGATTCAATAACGGTCAAAAATGTTTTTCTTAGTATATTACCAGAAATTGAAGAGCAATTAAATGGTACTCATATCGACAGAAATAGTTTTACAATACAGTATCTTCACAATTAATTTTTTTTACCTTTTACTTCTCTGATATTTGCTATGTAAAATCTAATACTTTTGAATTTGCTGTATAAATTGTTTATCAAAAATTTCACATTTTTCAACAAAAATAAACAAGGATGTAAAATGATAATGGTTGCGAAATTAATCTAATACGATCTCCGAAATGATAACTGAAACATTTATAAACGAAGAAGAAAATAAGTTGAGGTAAGAAAAATTAAATTAAAAAGGTAGGAAGAAACAAGTAATTTTCGTAGTAGAAAAATATTTTGAAATGCTCAATACTACAGCGATATATTATATTAAACATAATCAAACATAGAAAGCTTTTTCTTCTTTCAAAATTGCCTTGTTCTTTCCAACTATATTGTAATGCTGATAAGTATATCATTCTATATTTAAAATAAAACTGACAAATCTCTAATCTCTCGAAATGTGACTAAGAATGATTGTTATTAATGTCTTCCTGAAATGAACTATAGATAAAAGTGCATTAATGAAATAGAAAAAAGCTTAAATATCTGAAGGCATCTGTTATCACATGAAGGACCATTATTAGTTCATTATTCAAAATATTTCTAATAAACAAAAATAAAAAAATTTACTACGTTTTGAAAAATAGAAATAAAAAATTGGATTGAAGATGAAAATTTTTGAGAAATTATTATGTACCAAAAGTCTTTGAGCAGGTGTAGATAAATGATAAATTATTGTTATTATTGTTTACTATTGTTGCTCATTATCACTTATTATTATCGCTATTATTGTTAATTGGAACTTGTGATCTTTTTCGAGCAATTTATTTCTGCCTTTATTTGTATTTGATTGCGATTTTAATAAGGGAGAATTCGTTAACACTATGAAGTAACACACAAAGAATTGAAAATTTTAATGTAATTGAAAATTCTAATATCTAATAAATTTAAAATAGAATCTTTAAAAATATTTAATATTTTATTTCTTTCTGTTAAAAATTGCAAATTATTAGCATTATACGGAAAAAGAAAGAAATATTATTTTCTAACAGTATAATAATGGAATGAATGCATATCCGGCACAATATATACAACAAATCGGTTGAAAAATCGGATGAAACATTATGTTTATGGTATAGGAATGGTACCATTATGGTACTGTTGTATTCACTTATTTGAAAAACAACAAATTATTTATTAAACCTTCAAAATGCGTGCATTTTTAAATAATTGCCTATTATTGAGTAGGTCACTTTCTTGTAGCGATAGGGAAGATTCCAAATCGCGTAATACTATAACTCGATCGCCTCTCTGCAAACGTTCATCTTTCCTCAACTGTTTGAATGTGTTACTCAATGAAATACCGAAATGTGACAGCAATGTGCTACAGCAACAGCCACAGCATCTGAAATTATGGCATATGTTAAATTAAATTAATCACACTTAAATTTTTATAAAAATCTAATTTAGCTGAACATTTCGCAAATCAAATTGAAAGAAACAAGTATTCAATTTTTTAATTTCTTAATTATAAAAGTGGAGTTGTCAATAAATTTAACGAAGAGGAAAGATGATTTGAGTTTCCGGATGAATCACTCAAATCACTGTAAGCGATGTATGAAGTGATAGTAATCACATATTTCGGACACAGTCTTGAGCTTAGATATTGTTAAAAAAACTGTTAGCATTAAACTATAAACTATTTTTTAATGAATTGATATCTTAGTCTGATGATTAATAAACTGTATCACAATGCTGTTAGAAATATTGCGAGGAATAGTATTAAATAGTGTATTTATCAACTACTTATCAATATGATTTATTTTTCACAACGCATTTATATTTTCAATTAAATTACATAGCGATAAAGAAATTAAATTCCTTTCTTACAAATATTTATGATATGAATGAGAGATATGATAATGCAATTTGCTAGCGTCGTTGAAAGATAATTTATTATCGAATGAAATACGCAAGTTATCTGCAGTATCAGTCATTTAAGTAAGTAATCTTTAACTTTGACATTAGTCAATATCTCACAAAATTCAATTTTAGACATATCATCAAACTTTATGTTAAACATTTTTTTTATGAACAACAAAATCTTTTCTATTTTTACTGTAAATAAAACTAGTAAAGAATTTAGATTACTATTTGGTTATTAAGTTAATTATTTCATAAATGATATTTTGTATTACTATTTTTCAATCAATACACTTGCATGTTCATAATCAAAAACCGGATCTCACTAAATAATCTAAATCAGTATTTATCAATCTTTTTGTCAGAATTATTGAAAAAATAAGAATGGTTCTAACCCTGAGACAACGAAGATGTAAATGAGACCAATTAGTACAATAATGAATAATATTGGAGCAATGATATTCCTAAAAATCCATGAGCAAACTTCTCCAAGTTTCGCGATAATTTCATCAAAACCATCATTGACACGATTTGGTACTTCGGCAAAAAAACCTTCAACCTAAATCATTTATCTATTTTTCTTGACTAAAAATTTGATATTATTAGATAAAAAATAATACTATATCTTAACTTCTATATTATTTTTAAAGTGCAAAATATTAAAATTATAAACAGGAATAAAATAAAATAAAATGAACAGTTTCAATTCATAACAAATGATAAAATTACTCCGAGAGTACATCCACGTTAGACTAATTTAATCAGAAATAAGTAATTGCTTAATTAAGAATGGAATTGATTCAAATCATTTTATATAATTGCTTCCTTCCAATTAATTTATTATTTTGAATTTTTAGCTTTAATTAAATTAATAAATTAATGAAACGATAATGAAAGCAGCATTACAAATAAAATGTAATATTTTTACTTTTTCTTGAAAATAAAAGCTAATAATTTGAATAAAATTAAAAAATTACTTCATCACCAGCTCCACGTAACGTTGTTTCGGCTGTTTTCATCACTGTAACTTTCAATTTCTCACCGCTATTTTTCAAATTGTTCGCAACTGTACTAAAGATATTCTTTGATTGTTCAACAAAATTCTGCGCACTATCAAACTTTCTGCTAAGCTCTAAAAAAAGAATTGATAATTTATGAAATTGAAACTCTAAATTACTGGATTTTTTTTCAATTTTAATTTTGCTCTTTCATTGCTTCTAGAAGCCACATTTCGAGAATTGATAAATTTAGAAGTGATAAGATATCTATTATCGCGAATTTTTCGAACATTTTCTTCGGGGATAAAGAACTTTTAAGATTAAATTATTCAAATGTCGAAAATGGAAGATCAATAACTACAGATGAATTACAATTGAACATTGAAATATTACTAATAACTTTAGTATTGTTTACAATCAGTTTAAGCATATGAGAAAAATGATTAAATTATAGTTATAAAATGATTGAGAAGAAAATTAGAATATGAAGTAATTTCTAAGAAAATTCACTGTGCAGCTGAAATTTGCATAAAATAAAATATTTGCGACAACTATTTTCTTTTTTTCATAGCAATTGAAGATGAATATTTAACCAACCATCTAAAAATTGATTTGACTTTTCACCAATTTTTTGTTGTGTTTGTTGAAAGAACTGTTTCATATTTTCTGTCCATTCATCGGGCAAAAATGATATCGCATTTGTATTAACAACAAATATTATCAGTATACTAATCGTGAAATGCATATCTGAAATTGATTAATTCTTTTTTTTTCTCCAATCAAATTAATTATTAAATAACTGATTTTTAGAATTATTTAGTAATTCGACTAATCTATTACAGACATATGATTTTGATATAGACGTCGATTATTTTAGATTTTCATTGTCATCAAAGTTTCAAACATTTCAGAATTTCAGTATTTTTGGAATTTCAATTGCTTCAAAATTTCATTATTATTAAAACGCATTATCGAATTAATAGAAATGAAAATTGAATTCTATTTTAAGTATTGTACACAGATCATTCCATACTTGAGGCTTCTACAAAAAGTATTCAAATGATATGATAAAATAAAATTGATGAAATATTACTTACCGTAATAAATGACATAAAATCATACGATGTCTTTAGTTACAGCAAAAACAGAATACTGAAATTCGTATGGAATAAGGCGATAATTGACATATTATTTTTTACTGAATTGATCCTTTACTCGACATTGTCGTTTTTTTTGTTGCTATTCAGGGGAAATTTCAGATAATTCAGATATTTCAATACTTGAAAAAAAATGCTTAAGTAAATAAAATTGTAAAAGCAAAGAATTAATTTAAGCGCTTATAATCGTTGCTTACTACACTATTCAATATTTTAAAACAAATATTTAACTATTTCCTAGGCGTAAATGATGTAATAATTATTTACAAATTGTTAATCAATTAGCAAATAATAGTTACGGAAATTGTCCTTAAGAAAAAAAGAGTCGAAATATTATAATTGCTTGAAAAAGTGAAAATATGAAATTATTTCAATAAAATTAAAAAAAATATTAGCCTATTTGTTTTTGTTCCAAAAATGGTGTGCTGAATTTTTTGAAATTTGTGCTGCAATGTTTTAAATAAGAAAAGAGGTAATTTGAATTAAATTTGAATTAGATTAAATAAAGTTAAGCTAAATGTAAGTGAAGACGATAGAATGATCGCAATCGACAGAACATAAGTTCAGTTATGATTAGGTAATGGGAAGAGCGAAAGATAATACCGATATTATAACTTCCGAAAGAATTTACAATATTGCTATGAAACGCTTCATTTAATCCACAGATTAGTTAAACAGATTGTTTAGATTATTTTGATTTTAGTCATAAATTAAAATGCAAGGAATATGTCGATCTATTCTATCTTACAATTAAGCATTTCATTTAAGTCGAATTCAATAAAAAATACAACATTACATTTATTTCAGAAATAAAAATACGTGCAGTATATTTCATTAATAAAGATTAAATGGTAAAAATTGCTGAAATTTTAACAAATGATAAAGAAAACATAAAGCTATCAAAGAAACAAATGAATTAATCCAAACTGCGGAAAATATAAAGTTGAGGTTTATCACTTTAATAGCACTTGCAGCCATGTTTTTTAATTTGATGTTTACTTGTAAAAAATTATCATAAATTGGTTTTTTAAGTATCTAAAAATAATAATTCCAGGAAAAGGTTGTCCAAAGAAAATTTTGATTTTTGTTTTTTGTTTTGAAAATGCTGTCAAAAAGGATGGAAAACTGATATGAAGTTATTATTAATTGAGTTCTGCACCATTTCAGATTATATATTTTTTATCAATAACTATTATTAAGCAATGAGATTTACAGATGATTCATTAAATGTGAAATTTTTTATAGAGATTTTGTTGAAAGAAACATAAAAATTAAATTCTTAAAAAAATTAATTTTAGTATTTATTATAACAATTGACCGTACATTATTAGGAAACTAAAATATCCTTAATGATAAGCCCATATTATATCTAAACTTTCGTTATCATAAATATTTAGAAATGCATTAAATTTATCGTCATCGAAAATCATTATTTTTCTTGCAAAAAATATGAAAAATGGATTAGAAGTATTTGATTATGGAATCTCTTTATTCAGTTTAATTAGTGAGCAGCTATTTCCTTCATATATTAATTGAATAAGCTGGCAGGAAAAATGAGTAAATAAATAAGTGAAATGACTGAACAAATCAGAAGAACAAATAAGTTAATCAATTAATTTTGTGAGTAGGAAGAAGATGAATGAATTGCGAAGTTATTTGAGTAAGACAAAAAGACTTCCGCTCAGAATCTAAATTTTGTCCGATTATTTTGAGAGAAAAAAAGTAAAAGAAAGATCGCATAACTTACAATGCCTAAAAACATAGTTTTCCATAAAGCTGTACTGACTTCTAACTTTCTAAAATTTGACGAATAGTTAACTGATAATGGTGGTGAAGGTGTTATTAGTAGAGAGGTGACGACGATGGCAATAATTATAATTTATAATAATATTAATAATACTAATAGCAAATAATAAATAAAAATAATAACAAGATAACAGTAATATTATTACTGGTAATTATGATGATGATGATCATTATGATAATTATGAAAACAATAATGTTGGCAATGAAGAAATGTTTATGACAGTGATGACAATAGTTGTAATAATGCCAATAATGATGATGATAATGCTAATGGTCACTACTGATGATAATTGATTCGATCACCAATTACCGTAACTATGGCTTTGAACAGTTGACGATATAATCAATACTGTATATTAATCCTATCATAATTTTTTTGATCTTAAAATTCCTTCAACACTACTCCGATCTTTTAACAGAAAGATATTAGAAAAGGTAATAATTTAAAATTTTATTTGGTTAAAAAACGCGGAAAAATAAGAGAACGAACAGTATGGTAAGCATATTGATAATATTGAAGAAAGATAAGTTCAAAAAAATTTCAATAATTTTGCTATTTTGGATAACTCATTAAAAATCAAATAAAATTGATCAATAATTCTATTTCTCAGCTGCTATCTACTAAAAATAAAATTACTTCTTGATTATTTAATTTTTTTTAAAATTACTTTGAAACTTAAAATTGCATTTGTAAAGAATATTTTCGCCTATCAGCACGCACAAATATATATTTTTCTATTGAATGCAACTTGCATATTTGCATGTTATTGCATAAACTGCAAAGAATGCTTTACATTGCATTGTTGTATATGCGAATAATTTCATCGAAAAATAATAATGAATGAATGAATTGAAGAATTTATATATAAGTTTCCTAAAAATGGAAAAAAATTCTTTCTTTCAATCTGTCGCTTTTTCTCTTCATATCATCAATTTTTTAAAACAGAAAAATAATTCGTTGAACTTTTCTTTTATTGACAAATTGGAAAATGAATCATTTACATTTTTGCTACCATTTACTATTTACCGTTGTTACATGTCATTTCTTTATACCTTTGCATTTGTCATATTTTCTTTATACTATCCATACCATTTTTGTTCATACTGATATATACCTTAACAAAAGAAAAAAGCCTATTCAACAATTTTTGAGTGCTTCTTTTTCTTTCACTGCGGAAAAATGTTGAAATTTTATAATTACATTTTTGGTTACTTTTTTTTTCAAAGAAAAAATGATAAAAATTTTTATAAATTTTCACCTGAAATTACAACTTTTTCAAACTTTCTCGCAGCGATATATAAAAGAAAATATTTCCTACAAAATCCTTAAAGGAAACTAAAAAATGAAAGAAAAGAAAAATAAGCATATGCTGAAAAAATCGTAAAAAGTTCAACAATTCGTTAAAAATTTGTTGAAAAATTTTTTTGTTAATTTTGTTTATATTCCCTTTGGTAAATTTAGAAAAATTCTAAATTATTATTTTACTTAACTTTTTCTTTTCATTTAAAATTATAAAAATTTTGATTTCTAAATAATGTTAAAATAAGGCTAACAAAAACTTTCTTCTTTTGTAAATTTTATTTGTCTAAATTAAAAAAAATTTGCAGTAAGAGGAAGAAAAACAAAAGAATACTACAAGGAGGAAATTTTATTTATAATTTTTGGTTTTATTGTAAAATTAAATTAGTAAAAGTGTTGCTGTGAAAGCAAGAAAAATGTTTTTAACGAAGTAATTTAAAAGATTCTCAAGATGATGAATGCAATTTTAATCAAAGTGACTTGAAGGATTATCATGATAATGAATGCAACTCTTAGCAAACTAATTTATTTTTTATCGTTGTTAAATTTAGCAATTATTATTTAAATAATAAACTTTCAAATGATCTTATATTGGAAGTTTCTTTTGTATGAAATTATTTTTTCGCACTTCTGAATGCTTCGTTCTTGGCTAAGAATTAAGAAACTAAAATTAGTTGAATGAAATCTGTTGGAAGTTACAAAATAATATTTTTCAACAATGCAACAAATCAATGAAGCAATTTCAGAAGAAATCTTTGATAGGAATTTCTTTAATTCATCTACCTGTGCATTATTTTAATTATTTGCAGTAAAAATAATTATTGTTTGAAATCGTTTTTACCAACAAAAAATTAGTTTCAAAATTAAGTGCAATTTAATTGACTTTAAAATAAACGATATCGAAAATCGTTTGTAATTGGATAGGAATATAAAATAATCGTAATTGAATCTAAGTTTGTCCAATCAGTAAAAATTTTTAAATGCAATAAATTTAGTATATTAATAACGATCTGTTGAATGATAATACATTCTTTTTTTCTAAATGAATTCTACCAAAAACTTGAAACGAATATTTCAGTCAAAATATTACAAATCAAGCGATAATAACCGGTAATCGATAGTGTTGCTGTCGATAATTGACAACTGGGAAAAACTGTCTTGTGTGATGATTAATAGCAAAATGATAATTTTTTGTTAGATTCCAAAGATTGCAAAAATGAAAAAAGACAAATGATAGAATAATATATTAAGAGATTTATTGATTGTTAGATTTTATGGTATAATATAATGATAAAAAAAACGAAAACTGATAAAACATTGATAAAACGAAAGAAAATGCCGAGGTGTTAAAAGGATTTTGCATTGTTAATTGCATATGCTTTTGTAAGAATTAAAAAATGATAATTTAAATTATAAAATAAAATATTGCCATAACATTTTATAATTCAAATTTATAAAAATAATAAAAATTCTAAAAATAAA